CACTGTATAAATGTACAGTACATTAAATCATAATGTATTGAACACATTGCATATTGTGTAGCATCAGAATTCATCATTACCACACAATGAGATTTTAAATGCATACATTAATACTGTACCATAATGTACATGTATATGTATAGTACACTGTATGCTCACATTGAGAAAAGAAACACCATTAAATGCAATGATCATTGATCCACCAATTAACAGTGTCTCATTGATCATTCCATTTAATATGGTGTTTCTTTTCTACAATGGAGCCAGTTCAAGAGGTTTATGATGACAGAGCAGCTGTGAGTAGAAAACAAGAACTAATACAAACTGTACTGACTGATGTGAAGACTCATGAGGTTACCATAGAAACAAACCTAGCAGACATGCTAGAGTCAAGATACGTGATAAAAACTGATGAGTCAGCAAATAATAATAATAAAGAAACTAAGAGAATTACAAGAGAAGGAGGGAAACTGTTGAAACAAGTAGGTGCTATAGATTATATCTACATGTACACAAGGTAGAGGTTTCTTCTATAGAAATGATAGGATTCATTGAATAAGCAAAATTTACAGGAACACTGGAACAGATTTAGGGTACGGTAGAGTATATTTGAAAACCAAAAATTGTATTGATAGATCTACAGGGGTGTAGGAATAGGGGAGGCAGCTGCCTCCCACTTTTTTTGACATGGGGGCTATGCCCCCCCCCCACTTTTAGTTCACTAGCTTTTTTGAAGATTACACCATTTCAACTCAAAGCATATATACCAATAAGCACTTCATAATGATAATGCACCAAGTCATTCAAGTCAATTTTAATTTCCCTTAAATGCATGGTTAGCTACCAGCTGAACTAATTCAAGTTAGAAAGAAATATTTAAATTTTACTGTGAGAAACTGCATGTATCATTGTCAACTGTGTGCGGTGCCTGCCCCCCACTTTTCAATAGCTTCCTACACCTATGCTCTACATGTAATAGTAGACTTATCATTACTGTAGAAACCTTTACCTCAGTGTATATTCTACACTTGTATATGTATAATAATAATCACATGTTATCTGTTTTACTGATTGTATTATTATTGCCATTGGCAGGATAATTTTGATAGTGTATGTGAGAGTTCACTGGAGGCTATTGATGGACTTGAAAGTATTCAAAGAATAACAAGAAGTGGAGGAACAGAATCATAACATTAATAGTATAGTCTCTAATTAGCTATCATAGTATGCTAATTTTTATTAAAAATAGCAATCAAAATACATGTACGGTGTATATAACTATTGTCGGCACAAAAATAATATCACTGTTAGCTAATTAAGCCTAAAAGTGCATGTACATGAACTGCATACAGTACATTATTATTATTGATGTTCTCTGGAGTTAAAAACAATGTACAATGTATAATAACTAATGCATATGTCAGCATAATTACAGTACATACAGCATTAGTTATTTCAGAAGATTATGGAAGGCCAAAGTGGACGATATCAAAAATAATGAAGTAATGCTATGATGCCATTTTAATGCAGTGCAAACATATGCACATGGTGGATCATGATGTACCAATATGTAATCTCAGCAGACTCTACCAATTAGCCAGCCGGGAGTGACATCATCTTCATCTCTTTCAGTTCGGATGTTCTTTATAAATGATTTAACTTTATTAATACCAAATATACCATATAGTGTCTTGATTGATCTAGTGGCACGAATTGGTTTCTTAGCTGGAGTGCCAGTAATCATTAGCATCTGTTTAATATCAGATCGATCATACCAATCAATCTCATCCACTATATCCAGTACATTCAGTCCTTCATCATTTCTTTTGTTAACATCAGCTCCAGCTTGTATTAGTGCCTTTACTATTTTAGCATTTCCACATGAAGCTCCTATCATTAATGGAGTAATACCAGCTACTAGTGGAGCATCTGGACTCATACCATAAACAGAAATCATGCTAGTTAATGTTCCTAAATCTCCTTTAGCAGCTGCTACTAATAACTTTCTTTTATTACTTGAAAGAGTTGTTATTTTCTCAGAAATAAGAATTATCATTGAAGAATGACCTTCATAACATGCAATAGTAAAAGCACTCATAATGTGTTCTGGTGTGATGTCACATTTCTTTATTAAAATTTCAACTGCATCAAAATTATTGAATCCTGCTGCAACTGCTAATGAATGAAGCTTCTTACCATCAAAAGTGTGAATATGATTGGGATGAGAATCTAGGAAAAGCTCTAATATTTTAATATAATTACCAGAACATTCCTTGCCAAGAAATGGAGCATGTTGATCAAGAGCTATGTCAGCAACTGATGCAAGCAATTTTGTTATATAGTATTTTGAGAAAATTAGAGAAATGCTAAATGCACTGGCGCCATCATTATTTCGAATGTTAATATCTGGATCTTTACTCAGTAATAGTTCAACAACCTGGTGATGTCCATTGGTGCTAGCAACCATCAAAGCAGTCAATCCATCATTATTTTGAATGTTAATATCTGGATCTTTACTCAGTAAGAGTTTGACAACCTGGTGGTGTCCATTGCCACTAGCATACATCAAAGCAGTCCACCCGACATTATCTTTAATGTTAATATCTGCATCTTTACTCAGTAATAGTTCAACAACCTGGTGATGTCCATGGTGAATGGCATACATCAAAGCAGTCCATCCGACTATGCCTTGAATGTTAATATCTGAATCTTTACTCAATAATAGTTCAACAACCTGGAGATGTCCATTGCAACTAGCAGCCATCAAAGCAGTCCATCCATTATTATCTTGAATGTTAATATATGGGTTTTTACTCAGTAATAGTTCAACAACCTTGTGATATCCTTTCCCGCTAGCAACCATCAAAGCAGTCCATCCATTATTATCTTGAATGTTAATATCTGGATTTTTACTCAGTAATAGTTCAACAACTTGGTGATGTCCATTGTTACTAGCAATCATCAAAGTTGTACATCCATCATTATTTTGCATGTTAATGTCTGGATATTTACCCAATAAGAGTTTGACAACCTGATGGTGTCCATTGGCACTACCAGACATCAAAGCAGTCCCTCCATTTTTATCTTGAATGTTGATATCTGGATTTTTACTCAGCAATAGTTCAACAACCTGGTGATGTCCATTACCACTAGCAACCATCAAAGCAGTCCATCCATTATTATCTTGAATCTTAATATCAGGGTTTTTACTCAGTAATAGTTCAACAACTTGGTGATATCCATTGTCACTAGCAATCATCAAAGTAGTACATCCATCATTATTTTGAATGTTAATATCTGGATCTTTACTCAGTAAGAGTTTGACAACCTGGTGGTGTCCATTGGCACTACCAGACATCAAAGCAGTCATTCCATTTTTATCTTGAATGTTGATATCTGGGTCTTTACTCAATAAGAGTTCAACAACCTGGTGATGTCCATGGCAACTAGCTAATATTAGAGCAGCCCATCCATCATTATTTTGAATGTTAGTATCTGGATCTTTACTCAGTAAGAGTTTGACAACTTGGTGGTGTCCATTGGCACTACCAGACATCAAAGCAGTCCCTCCATTTTTATCTTGAATGTTGATATCTGGGTCTTTACTCAGTAGTAGCTCAACAACCTGGTGATGTCCATTGCCACTAGCAACCATCAAAGCAGTCCATCTATTATTATCTTGAATCTTAATATCTGGGTTTTTACTCAGTAATAGTTCAACAACTTGGTGATATCCATTGTCACTAGCAATCATCAAAGTAGTACATCCATCATTATTTTGAATGTTAATATCTGGATCTTTACTCAGTAAGAGTTTGACAACCTGGTGGTGTCCATTGGCACTACCTGACATCAAAGCAGTCATTCCATTTTTATCTTTAATGTTGATATCTGGGTCTTTACTCAATAAGAGTTCAACAACCTGGTGATGTCCATGGCAACTAGCTAATATTAGAGCAGCCCATCCATCGTTATTTTGAATGTTAATATCTGGATCTTTACTCAATAAGAGTTTGACAACCTGGTGGTGTCCATTGGCACTACCAGACATCAAAGCAGTCATTCCATTTTTATTTTGAATGTTGATATCTGGGTCTTTACTCAATAAGAGTTCAACAACCTGGTGATGTCCATGGCAACTAGCTAATATTAGAGCAGCCCATCCATCATTATTTTGAATGTTAATATCTGGATCTTTACTCAATAAGAGTTCAACAACCTGGTGATGTCCATGGCAACTAGCTAATATTAGAGCAGCCCATCCATCATTATTTTGAATGTTAATATCTGGATCTTTACTCAATAAGAGTTCAACAACCTGGTGATGTCCATGGCAACTAGCTAATATTAAAGCAGCCCATCCATCATTATTTTGAATGTTAATATCTGGATCTTTACTCAATAAGAGTTCAACAACCTGGTGATGTCCATGGCAACTAGCAGACATCAAAGCAGTCCATCCATTATTATCTTGAAAGTTAGTATCTGGATCTTTACTCAGTAAGAGTTCAACTACCTTGTGATATCCATTGGTACTAGCAGCCATCAAAGCAAGCCACCCATCATTATTTTGAAAGCTAAAATTTGGTCTTTTATTAATTATGGATTGAACAGTCAAGAAATCTCCTTTTTTACTAGCAATAATGAAGTCAGTGCTATCATTTTTAAGAGATAAACTAACATGAAGTTCCAACAAGAAAAGCACTAAACTTACATTGTTACTTTGATGCGTTTCCTGTAGTACCCCCTCAAATGTAAATGACTTATTTTCATCTTCCATCATGATAGGAATATCATCAATCATAATTTCAAATACACCAATCTTATATAAAAAATCCCTCTGTTCAAAAACTCCTTCAATTGATATCTGACTGTTTAATTGAGGTAGTAGATATGTACATGTAAGGTTGGAGGTATTACAATGTGCTTCTTGAAGTATTAGAAAGGATGAAATAGGTAATAAAAAAAAATTTTCCATTGTATTTAATTCAGCAATTCTCCTTGAGCACCACGGCTTATTAAATCTCAAGGTCAATTTTGAACAGCCAACACCATCAGGATATTGCATTCCTCTAGTCATTATTGCAAGCTCCAGTAGGCTAGTGGTATCTTTGAACATCTTCAGGTTAGTATTGTATTCTTCTACCTGTTCCTTGATAGGTTCTGTGATAGTACATGGTATTGTGAGAAGGTTAATGTTTAAACATGAGTAATGAGGCTGGAGCAACTGCACTAGTTGATGAGCACTTTCACAAGTAGCACCTTCTTTGATATATGATTGAAAGTATAGTTTTGCTTCTGTTACTAAGGCTTTGCTGGTCAAAAGATTGGTAGCAGCATCAAGGAAACTACTGTCTAATGCATAAAAACAATCTTGCAGCCATTGAAATTTTATTTTATTTTTAACGACATGCATGAATGGCTCATAAGAATGACTACTCACTCCTCTTTCTTTAACAGCCATTTCCAACATCTCTTCAACTGAAGTGTCATCTTGTGGTATAATTTTCTCTCCTCCAATTGATTTGTATATATGCTGAGAGAGAGCAGTACATGCTAAATAGTTCAATCCAATGTATCCTTTGTTGACTTGTAGCTGTACAAATGGATTGGTACCACTTTGTAGTAATGACTTAAAAATTTCAATATGTCCACCTTCACTAGCTAACATTAGTGCAGTCTGGCCATCAGTGTTCTGGTAATTTAGTTTTATTTTAAGTTCTATCAGAAGCAGTGCCACTCTCTCATATTCTGCATCACTGTCAATGTGATTGATGGCATGTAATAGTGATTCTTCAAATGTAAAGTTGACATCTTCCTCTCCATTAATAATAACTTCATCATTAATGATTATTTCAAATATACCAAGATACTGGATGAATTGACTTTTATTCTGTACTTTGTCAATAAGAAATTGTGATTTTGAAAAAGCCAGAAATGTAACGACAATTGATCCTTCATCAATTTCAATCAGTCTTGCACGCTCAGCATCAAGGTATTCAATGATGATTTTAAGATTTTCCACTGTTTTCTTTTCCCAGCTCCCAGTCAATTTAATAACAATTTTACAATGTATTTGTGAGGCTTCATGTGGTAGAGGTACAAGCTTTATTGCATTTTTCATTTGTTCTATTGAAGTTGAGTTTTTAAATTGTTGTAATTTCTGTACATAACTGTTAAACTTCAGCTCTAATTTGCAATCTTTTTTAAGAGGAAATTGTTTTGCAAGGTATTCAAGTAAATCAAAATCAAAAAAACTGTAATGAGGTCTAACTAATTCAAATAAGCTATTAATATCTTTGCAATTAGTTAGAAGCTCTGTAGTAGGACGCTTTTCTAAATAGTCGGTTACAAAGCCAGCAATATCTTTAACATTATAATGCTTGTTGTAGTACTTTCTAATATCAAGCATCAAAGAAAGAAATTCCTTAAAAAAATACTCCAGTTCTTGAGGTTTTTCATCATCAATGCTCAGCAAAATTTTTGGAGGAATAGATAAATCAGTGGAAGTTTCGATGTCAATTATAAGAGACCATTTCAAATTATGTTTATTCATTACTTCACTCTTCCAATCTTCAGCTAGTGCAATGGCTGCATTTTTAGCTGGACCACCTGCTTTGGCAAGGCAATGTACGAAATTACGACAGTTTTCTTCTAATTTGGTCATATCTTCTTCGCAAAGAGATAACGATTCTCTAAATTCCTTTTCAATTCCATGAAAAGAAGGTGAGCTTTTAACATCTTCGGTAATAAAACCCTTAGAATAAAATTCTGCAGAAACAGAATTTAAGCAACATCTAGTAGCATGAAGTAAACAAGAATAATGACGTTTCAATGTAGCCTTAACTGTTTTAGTGGCATTTACTTGAGGTCCTATTTAAGAAATAAAAGATGATTTTATATATAAAAGATTTAGATAACTTCTAACCTTTCTTGTTACTATCTGTCAAAATTTGCTGAGCCAAAATGTGTTCATTTGCATTTAAAAGTGATGTCCTGATTATTGACCATGTTATATCAGGATTATAATCAAGACAATGTTGAGCTACAGTACTCATGACATCCTCTTCTATTGATCCTCTCTCTTTGATTCCAGTAATGATATCTTGTGTCATGTTAGGAAGACAACAGACAAACTGTTCCCAAGTACCAGCAGTGAACTTTGAGCTACTCAATAACTCAACCAACTCATCTTTTGTTGGCTTATCTATAGCATTAGAAATTTAGAATCAGAACAAACTAGCATCATTTAATACCTGTAAGAGTGGGTCCAGGGTTAAGTTCCACATCTCCTGATAAGAAGAGGAGGATAAGAAGGCATAAAATAGACAAAACAAGTCTAGGGCCCTTTTCCTGTGCAATATTGCCAGTACTAGCTCTACCAGTTCCACAGTAAATGTTATCAGTACTTCTACAATCATTTGATTGTACCGGCAAATGGTTGGAGCAGTTCCAGGATCCTATTCTAGCTCTCCACTGACACAAATCAATCATGACTGAAAAAAGCGCTGTACTGGCGAAATGTCCAAAACGGAAGCATCCTGGCCGGTAGGAGGCCACTTGTTTTAATGCTACTCCCACTCATTGCAGTGAGTAAAAAGTAAAAACAATTTATACAATAATTTAATTTTTAAAGAAAGAGATCAATCATTAATGGTTCTATTCTGATGCTGAAGGACTTGATTGTCTCTCCTCCTCAGAAGGAGCACTTCCATCAGAGAACTCTTCCTCTTCCTCCATCTCCTCCTCCTCTCCTTCACCTTTATCAGAACCACCTCCTAAAGAATAAAATAAAATTATAAATATAATAGTTATCAAGTCATCTAGTAGTAGGAATATGACAAATGTACTGGCATTCAAAATTGAAATCCATTAGTTCTTGTGAACATTCAAAAGCTCAATAAAGAATCAAAGTAGCATTTCCATTTTCAAACCATTTGATTCAAGCATTCATTCATTCTGAGTATCAATATTTTTACATTTGTTCCATTCTTAACTAATGCAGTATATCTACATGTACATTCTTAGTAGTAACAATCAAATATTTATTAGTATTTTATTGATTCCATTTACTTTTATGTGGAGGAGGAGAGACTGAGGGAGAGACAGAGGGAGACCTTCTCTTATGTTTCTTGTCCTTTTTAGATTTCTTACTACTCCTCCTCCTCTCTGGACTAGGACTGTAGGAATAATCCCTCACTCTATCCTTACGTCTGAAATAATAAAAAATTAATAAGTAAAAATAATAAATAAAGTATTTATTCAACCTTGATGATGATTTCCTTCTCGGTGAATGAGATCTTGAACGGCTTCTTGATCGTGAGTGTCTCCTCCTATCTTTATCAGGTGACCTATAAACATAATAAATGTGGGTGGAGTTATGTGTTGCTATGGTTACCGGTGACGATAGGAGGAACGGTGTGAGTGGTAGGAGTGACGAGGCGGAGTCCTAGAACGAGATCGATGACCTCTTTTGTAACCACTCCCACCTCTGTAATCTCTATAATATCCAACATTAATAACTACTTAATAACTAGCCTTAATAACTACTTAATAACCAGCATTAATAACTAGTTAATAACCAATACTAATACCATAGGTCGGGATATATTCGCGGCTGCAATTATTCACGGTCATAAAAAAATTTCAATTAAAAAAAATGGAAACCAAGGTGTTATTTCAATTGAAAAAGGCGCGGTAGTGAAGAAAAGCACCTTGCTGCAGTGTTCTTGAGTTGTTGTCCTTCTTGTGTTACTAAGCCTTGGTCTCTTTGGAGCTGCTTTACCGGTTCTTTTCAGAACTAGTACCTCGCCGTATTTTGGGACTCTCCACCCATTCTAGTTAGTGTTTATTGACTTGGGCGTGGTTTATTATCACCAGCACGCGGGCCAGAAACAACTTGCAGCAAAGAGGCTGAAAGAGCTCTGAGGTAGCAGTCCATACAAGAAGTTAACAGATAGAGAAGGACTCGCTATTGGCGAATAGCTCCACTATAGCTGCTAAAGAACAGATGAATAGCTGAACACTAAACATGTGGTCTTAATTGTCATAGCAATGCTCTAACAGTTTCCATGGTTTTTAATTGAATTTTTTATGACCGCGAATAATTGCAGCCGCGAATATATCCCGACCTACGGTAATTATTTAATCAATCTTACCTCCAGTTCCTACTGTATCGTCTAGGTGATCTTGAGTAGCTCCTCCTCTTCCTCCTCTCATAAGGTGATGGTGAACGGTGTCTTCGTCTCTCGTGTCTTCTCTCTCGCGATCTCGACCTAATAAAGACAATAACCACACCCACTAATTAAAAGAGGTGGGGCTTACCTTGAGCGAGACTTTGAACGAGATCGTTTCTCTTTTTCTTCGTTTTTATTGGCACCTATAACAGGAATATTTAACCCTTCCCTCACTCCCTCCTCCCCCCTCACCTGGTTCAATGACATTAGTAATGGAGTGACTTGCTTGTCTCACTTTCCTCATGGCCTCATCAACTTCTCTCTGAGCTACATCAGGTGCTTTACCTTGTGGCTTAACTATTGCATTTTTACTGTGATTGACCCTGAGAAAGAGAAAAGAGAGACGACAAACAATAATTGATTAGAGGAGTGTGTGTGTGTATGCATAATTTAATACATGTATATGCATTGAGCTGTTACA